CCCAACCGCCCCCGCACCCTGTTCCCCAACAAAATCTCTGCTCCCTAGCCCTGAGGCGGAGCTCCACCTCCTCCCCACTCAGAGCCTCTGCAGCCTTCCTCTCTCCCTCTTTCTCAGCTTGGAATCCCCTTAGCTTGACTCTTACCTCTATCATTGTCCCCAGTTTTGGAAAAGAATATGGAAGGCCAGAGAGGAGAGAGCATTTGCCCAAAGTCACATTTTCCTTTCTGCACCAAGCATTTCTGGGAAGCTACTGGCCAGCCTGGGTGCTGGGGGAGACAGAAAGGAGCCTGGAGGAGGAAAGCAGCCCTGCGAGGCCCCGCGAGAGCACTGCATTTCCCAAGGAGGCGTCCTTGGCTCAGGCCCTAAAGAATGAAAGAATGAGTAGGAGCTCTCAGGCAAAAGTGGTGAAGCAAGTCCTGGTTTTCGGGTTTGTTGTTTTTTCAGGCTAAACCCGGCACTGCCTGATGTAAGCATTTTTGCCAGGGATGCCCGTCCCTGGGATTGGAATCCTTGTGCCGGCCCTCTCCATAGCAACCCTTCGCCACATCAAGCTCTCAGGGAAATTGACCCAGTCATCAAAAAGTGGCGTGCTGAGCCAACGATCACAACGACCAGACCGAGGGGCCCCGACCGAGTGCCAGACTTGTGCCCACAGATGAGGCCGAGGCCCGGGACCACCAGCAGCCACCAGCAACAGCTGGGGGTCAGCCCACCACTGGCCCCCACAGGCCAGATCCTTTCTCCAGCCCAGAGTGTGGCTCCTGAGCTCCTCAGCCTTCTCCAGAGCCCAGACATTAGCTGTGCAGAAAGAGGGGCCCCTCAGCAGGCATTGACGACTGGGTAAGGAACCACCCACTTCCCTGCTCCCCAGTTCTCTGGGCTCCATCTGCAAATGAGAAGTGAGCAGCTCCCCACAGGAAAAGCCCAGACATGGTTTCTGAAAGGGGCTCCTGGGTCCCTCTGGCGGCCAAATTCCCCTGGGACATCTGCTTAAGCTGCAGATTCCTTCCCGCCTCCTCCCCTCTGAGTCTGAGTCTGCACATTTGCCTTGCAGAATGACACCCATAGGGCCGCTTGTCCTTTCGTTTTCCAGTCTTTTCTCTGCCCAGACCTGCCCCTTCTGCTTCCCTGTCCAGACCTTCTCAATTTGCAGTCATCTCTGTGCCCAACAGGGAAAGTGAGCAGGAAACACTGGCCAAATGCTTCACGTGGCTCCCTCCCTGCTCTGCAGATGGGACTTGAACAAGTCTGTCTCTCTCTGTGTATCTGTTTCCCTTTAGAAAAGTAGACCAGCTCCAGGCCTGCATACCTCCTGATCCCTCCTGGCCACCAGTGAAGAAAAGTCATCAGAAATGTGGCAGAATGTCCACACTGGGAAGACTTCAGCAATTGTCTGCAGGATGCTCATAACTTTTCAGAACACTTCAAATCAATTTAAAACTTAAATATAAAAAGTGAAAACAAAACAGCAAGTGAGTCAGACTTTAGCAGGCATGGAGGAATTGACATAAGAATTCAGTGTTCTGTACCAACTCACTTCACTGTGGGCAGACCCTGTGTGCATCACCAGTGGACACTAGCAATGAGTTTTCTATAGTTTTTTTTTTTTAATGTGAGGCTGGCACTGTGGCATACTGGGTAAAGCCATCACCTGTACTGCCAGCGTCCCATATGAGTGCTGGTTCGAGTTCCGGCTGCCCCACTTCCTATCCAGCTCTCTGCTATGGCCTGGAAAAACAGTAGAAGATGGCCCAAGTCCTTGGGCCGCTGCACTCGCATGGGAGATCCAGGAGAAGCTCCTGGCTCCTGGCTTCGGATTGGTGCAGCTCCAGCCGTTGTTGCCATCTGGGGAGTGAACCAACAGATGGAAGACCTCTCTCTTTCTCTCTGCCTCTCCTTCTCTGTCTGTGTAACTCTCACTTTTAAAATAAATATTTTAAAAATGTATTTACTTATTTTAAGGGCAAAGTTACACAGAAAGAGAGAGGAGAGACACAGAGAGAGGTCTTCCATCTGTTGATTCACTCCTGAGATAGCCACAATGGCCAGGGCTGGGCCAGGATGAAGCCAGGAGCCAGGAGCTTCTTCTGGGTCTCCCACAAGGGTGCAGGGGCCAAGCACTTGGACCATCTTCCACTACTTTCTCACACACATTAGCAGAGAGCTGGATTGGAAGTGGAGTCACTGGGACTCGAACCAACACCTCTATGGGGTGGCAGTGCTGCAGATGAAGGCTTAACCTTCTACACCACAGCGCTGACCTCTAGCAGTGAGTTTTCAGGTGTTTTCCTTCTTCTTCCCAATCCAGTCCCCACCTCACTCCTTGCCAGCATGGCCACTCTGCCTTGAAAGAGTGCCGCAGGCCTCTGGCCCTGCAGAAGCTGCTCCTGACTTCAGTTGCAGGACACGCTGCAGTTTGTACACTTAAGTAGTGGTTGAATGGGGTAGGGACCCAGTTTGCCCTATGAGTTCTCTTAACCACCATACTGTAGTGACAACCACCCTCACCTGCTACACACCCTAGAGATGGTGATGGATGGTGGATAATTCACATCCCACTCCATTTCACAAGTCCCTAGACAGCTCTGTGAGCCTTGGTAGTGATGACACTAACCTCTCCAGAGCGTCACCTTCAGGCAGGTGGGTCCCCTAGTGCACTGCCTTTGTCCTGGCATTAGCCAGGTTTCTGCTGGTTCAGTGGAGACAAATGCACAGCCCTTGTTCCTGTCTCAACCATAGTGGTCTAATGCCTGGGGTACCCAGAGCACCAGAGCCCTGGGAAGCAGCTTTCCTCTGGCACTGGTCCTGTCCCAGGCCACCAGCAGCCTTGGGGCTCGGCAAGCAGAAGGAAAGCTTATGATACACGTGACCTGGTACCTCATGGACTGTGGCTTGAAGCAAGAGCCAGACTAAGTCACCTGTGGAAGCTTGAGTGGAGAAGGAAGTAGGAGGCTTCAGCTTCCAGAATGCACTGAGCCACAACTGGGGGAGTTTCTTGGCATACAGTTGAGGACAGTTCAGGGAACAGGTGCTGATGCCTATCACAGCCAGATGCTGGGCCCAGTGCTGGGCCCCGCTGGATTTCAGGAGGCTGCAGGGACCCTGGGCAGCAAGGCAGAGCACATAAGGCAGGTCGAGGATGGTTGAGGTAAGGTGGCTGTTCCCGGACTCATTGCCCTCCTATGGGAAGGACTTTGTCTGGAAGCGGGCCTTGAGCTAGCTGAGCAGGAAGTGAGGTGAACCATTTCAATTCAGAGGGCAGCTCCTTACTGAGTGGCCTAGCCGTGTCCTCAGGCAGACTGCCACTCCTCGAGGCGGGGCGGGGGGCTGCTTTCTCTTTGACTACTCACTGCCTGCCTCTGGGTGCAACATACATAGTGGGGTCTTTGGTAGAGCAGGAGGAGGCAGAGTCAGGCAACCCAACAGGCTCCTGCTTCTCATCCCCACCCCTCCAGAAAGCCTTCCCTGAGCTTCACAGCTACAGGTGCTTTCCCGCTCCCCGGAGGTTTGTATGCAGAGCTGCAGCACCCTATGTGGGCTTGTGCCTCCTCTCTCTGACCCATATGACCATCCACAGGGTGAAAAGGAACAGATCACCTGCTGTGTGCAGCTGAGCAGAGCCCCTAGCCAGAGGCTGAGACTTGATAGATGGAGGGGGTTGGGCAAGTGAGATGACTGTGCTCCTTCCCTTCCTGGAGTGACTCAAAGGTGATGAGGGGAACCACACAAGCACCCAGGCCCCCAGGAAGCCGGCCGCTGATCTGTGCATCTGTGTCCTGGGCTTTCAGCTGCTCTTGGTTTTTCAGATGAGGCAGTAGAGGTCCTGGGAAGGAAGAGCCTCCCCTGCCTCCATCTGCAGCTCTGCAAGAGCTGGGGAGGAGGGAGTAGAAAGGGAACTGGGCTCTCTAATACAGACCTGCTCTCCCTCAACTGTTAGGGACTAACGGCCTATGCCTCCAGCCAGGTGTCCTGAGCAGAAATGCAAAGGGCTATGTGACAAAGGCGAGGCTGAGTTCAGGTGCCAGAGGCCTCGACCTGCTGTCTCAGGGTTCACAGAGTGTAGGCTGAGCTTCCTGACCCCCTGCCAGCTGGAGTCCTGGGATGCTGCTGCACAGTCTTCCACAATGTCAAGGCCAATTGCAAATGGCTCAGTGGGAACACAACTCCTAGTGCACTTCAGAGGCTCCAAAGCCCTGGGACATGCACTACCTACCTTACTAGAGTCCTCAGCAGCCCTGGGTAGGAGGTGGTCTGGTCCCCCATGCACCAGTGGAGCTGCCCAGGTGACTCCAGCTCCAAAGGAGAAGAGCAGACAGGAGGACCTGAACTTTCAGCCTTTCTTTGAGGCAAAGTATCACCCTGCCTTTCCAAAGAGGACAGGGCTCTTGGCTTCCCCTGCCCCCATCCAAACAATCCAGCCACAGAGCTGGCACACTGCAGATCCCGGCGATAACACCACAGTGACACTTGATTCGGCGCCTTCTGTCTGAGCATGAGCAGCTCCCTTTCCCGGCCTTCCTAGCAACTGCTTGATGCCCAACACATGCCCGATGCAAAGCCACCCGTGAATCCCCTGTGCTAGGTTCCAGGACGAGTGAGGGGTTCCTCAGGGTGAGCCAGTTTCTCGATTTTCTCATCTCTACAGTGGACCTGGGGAAGCCGAAGGATCTAAGTTACCTGATTCCTTCAGGCCTGCTACTAAAGGGATTAATCCAGAAAGGGCAAGGACAGAGGGACCAGGCCAGCAAGGCGGCTACTTGCCTCAGCGGGCCACTCTCCCTCTGTGAGTAGCTTCTCTCTCACAGTGAAAGCCAGAAAAGTAAAATCACTGCCTTTCCTGGGGTAGCCCAACAGGGAGCTTGGAGCAGATTAAAGATTAAGGATGGGGAAACTGAGGCCCTGACTTGTCCCCAGCTGGGCATAGACCAGGTGACCTCCCCACCCCCCCCACCATGACTCCCTGCCAGACCGCGTCCGACGGCGACTCGACAGTCCTACCTGGCACAGGTGCCTGGTCCGTGGGGTAAGAGGAGGGTCTGGTGGGTGCGGGGTGCGGGCTCCCTCGCGTGGGCAGCGCCCGGCCGGGCCGGGGCGGCGGGCGCGGGGCACGGGGCTCAGCAGGGAGCTCTCAGGGAGGTAAGGAGGCGCGGACTGGGCTCCGCCCGCAGGAGAACAAACAGGTTTTCTCCGGCCGCCGGGAGCCTCGCCCCTCGCCCCTCCCCTCGGCCGGCCCCCTTCCTCTGCCCTCTCCTGGGGTAGGTAGATGCGCCTGGCACATTCCGAACATTCTCCCGCCAGTGTCCTCAGCCTGCCCGCCCCTTCCCGGCTCCGCCCCGCGGGGCTGCGGGAGAAATCAAGGCCGGGGCTCCCCTCGCCGAGCCCAGAGCGAGCTCCAGGAGGCTCTGCCTCGGTGGAAAAGTTCCAGACAAATTCCTCCGGGCTCGCCGGCCCCAGGCCAGGACGCCTCTGCCACGTGAAGGGCCCCCGCTGCCTAGTTGTGTCCCTGCCCGCGCCGGACGCGATCCGGCCCAGGCTCGGGGCCAACGACTTCCACAGATGCTGTCGGGTTAATTCTGTCGAGAACTACTGTTCCTAGATCCATTTTACAGATGGAGATCCCAGACAGGGGCGGGGAGGGGGGTGGGGAGGAGGCTGGCGGCTGAGATCATGCAGGAAGTCCCGGAGGCAGGGAAGGAGGAGAAGAAAGCACAGGAAAAACTTTCACCCTGGAAGATCTTCCTGCTGGGATCTGGGGCTCCCAAGGCACAGCAAACGCGGCCACCTCGCCGACTGGGCAAGTGGGACATAACCAGGGCTCCAGAGGCAATGTAGCTTGCTTCCTGTCATTCATTCACACTTACTCATCGCTTGCTATGTGTAAGGCGCTGGGCTAGGATACAGGGAGCACCAAGAAATCCCTAAGCCTCTTAGGTGACAGACAACACAGCTCCAGCAAAGGCATAGAGTTGGCCTGGCAAGGTGATAAGAACAAGGCCACCATGCCCTCTTCCATCAAGCCCTGCCAATTCCATGTCCCAGGGGCCCTCAAATCCATTCACTTCTCTCCATCCACACGCCCAGCCTCCTCTGGCTTCCCTGCCTCTGGTCTTGCCTTCCTTCCCTGTCGGTGTCCACACAGAAGTCAGTTTAAGAGCTCGCATGTGTGGCCAGCGCGACGGCTCACTAGGCTAATCCTCCTCCTTGCGGCGCTGGCACACCGGGTTCTAGTCCCAGTCGGGGTGCCGGATTCTGTCCCGGTTGCCCCTCTTCCAGGCCAGCTCTCTGCTGTGGCCAGGGAGTGCAGTGGAGGATGGCCCAAGTACTTGGGCCCTGCACCCCATGGGAGACCAGGAGAAGTACCTGGCTCCTGCCATCGGATCAGCGCGGTGCGCCGGCTGTGGCGGCCATTGGAGGGTGAACCAACGGCAAAGGAAGACCTTTCTCTCTGTCTCTCTCTCTCACTGTCCACTCTGCCTGTCAAAAAAGAAAAAATGAAAAAAAAAAAAAGAACTCACATGTGTGAGTATGATCATATGGCTCCCATGCTCACAACTCTTCATGGCTCCCCATTGCTCAGAAGAAAAGCCAAAGTCCTTTAGATGGCCTCTCTGTCTCTGCAGGTCTAGTCATTCTCCCCTTTTGGTCCCACATTCCAGTCACACTGGCCTCCTCCTGGCTTCTGAACACATCACAGTTCCTCTCACCTTGGGGTGCTTGCTCCTGGTATTCCCCTACCACCCAGTTGAGTTAACCACTTCCTTCTGTGCATGCCTCTAGTTCCCAGAGAGAACATCTATCTAACATAGTAGCTGTCAACCTTTATTGTTCTAGACCTGGAGCTGTGGGAAGGGCAGGGCCCTGTCTGATTCATCACTAGGTCACAGCGATCAGCACAAGGAGTCTGAGGAACTTGCAGAAGGAAGGGAAAGAGCAGTGATTGAGACTCTGGGAGCTGTCCACATCCTTCTCTTTTGGGGTTCATCAGAAAGAGGAATTCTTAGAAGTGCTATGTATGCTATGTATGAAGTCACTTCAGTTCATCTCTGTCACTTCCCATCAAACATTTTCTTGCGTCCAATATTGAATACCCCAGTGTAGAGGGGCATCTAGTGGCAGCCATGGATTTGGCTTGGCATCTGAGCTCCTAAACATAGTCACTATGTGGCCTAGGACATGCCGTACTGCCCCTCTGAGCCCCTGCCCCATCAAGATCCCCTAACTTCAACAGGTAAGACGTCAAGGGATCGGATGCAGGGATGAGCAAGAGGGGCGTTCTTCTCTCACAAGGCCACCAGTGGGAAAGGGTAAGCTTGCTTCTGAGCCATAAGTTAGCATGGGCCTGCTGGGGAGCATGAGCAAGATCGCTGTCCAAGGACACAGCCAGCCAGTGAGGGCTACCCTGGGCCAGGCTGCCTCCAGGCCTTGAGCTCTTCTAATGTCCCAGGTGACTCAGTCCCTGCCCAGGCCAGATCTGTCATGACAGCTACAACCAAAAAGACTAGCCTTTCCTCGACTCCTCCCTCCCTGCCAACCTGCCAGGCCCTGCAGCTGATCTTGCCTGCAAACGGGTTTGACTCGAACGGTCACTGCCCTGCCCTGCCCTGCCCACCTGTTCATTGCCCCAACAGAATCTTCCAGCGATGCTTTCCAACCCCACTCCCTGCCAGGGCTATGTCCAGTCACCTCAGTTAGGCTTCTAGGTCACTGCCAGCGTCTTCAGCTTCCTCGGGCATCAGACACGCCCAAGTGACATGGACCTAGATACACCAAGCGCTCTCATCCCAGCAGGACACTGCACAGCACGATCCCTTTGGAATGATATTTCTTTTCTAGGGACACCAGGGGACCTCCCACTCATTCTCAGTTTCCTTGTTGTCTGCTTTAAGTCTTTCTTTCCTCCCCTCCCCCTCCACCCCTACTGCTGCCCCTCTTAGTCTAGGACAAGGCCCTGGTGACTGTCAGCTCTCTCCAAATTGAGCTCTACTCCTGCCTGGCCTGAGCCTAGTCCTGTCCCTCCTTCATCCTCTCCTGTCCTCCTGTGCCTTAGCCCCTAGTTGCAGCTCCAATACTGGTCAGCGTCTCTGGCTATGGCAGAGTTCGCCCGCAGCCCCCCAGCTTGGGCAATAGTACCACCTTCAGGGTACTACATCCCCGTTCTTGACAAGCAGGCCTCCAGCATGACACTGATATGAGGGTGCAGATGCTGACTCTGAGTGGAGTAGGCTTGGAGGCCACAGGCTGAGGAGATCTGGAAGGTGGAGGCAGGAAGTGGCAGGTGGTGACCATGTGCTGAGGGGGCTACATTGCTGCAGGCAGTGGGGAGGAAGACAGATGCCTATTTGGAAAGAAGTGGTGAGGAGTGCTCTAAATGCCCCCATTCTGATCTGCAGGGCTGAGCCTAGGACTTGGCCAAGCCATTCTAGCTGAAGTATTCCCAGGACAGGGAGAAAAGATGGTGGGTTCCTGAAAGCCAGCAGGCCCAAAAGCCAACAGAGGCAGTGAATCCCCCACCAGAGGGAACTATAGCTGAATGCTCAACCCTCACTCTACACTTGACCAGATGGGGAAAACAGACACCTGGAGATGGACGGAGTCTCTGGTGCTCAGGTTCACATGTGGGGAGGGCTGGGCTCCTGCTTGGGCCATAATCCCTTCCTTCCTTCTTTCCTTCCAGGAATCTGCCTTGCCACCTTGTCCCTTGGACTCCCAGCAGGGTGGTTTTCCTGAGAGCAGGGGTCCCTGGTGGGGCTGCATCCAGGACAGGCCCTATGCAGCTCCAAATCTGTGAGGCCAGGCCTCTGCATGTGTAACCAGCTTCCCCTCAGCATATGGGAAGAGCCTCTTAGCCACCAAGTCTTGCCTTGGGGATCCCCTGCTAAATGCTCCTACTGTGCTGCCACTCTCACCCTGCTGAGATACCAGTCACAACCATTCTCAGCTGCATTGGCTCCCGGTCTAGTGGAGGAGGCAGACCTGTCCCACACCAGGGGGCAACCCCCATGCCAGACCATTTGTTTTGTGGGCAGTGGCACCACTGAGAGTCACTTAGGAGCAAAGAACTGAGGAGAGGTTGTGTGCCTTCTCAGAGGGGCCATATTCTAACCTCTCTTATCCCTATGCCTGGGCTCCTGCCGCCCTTTGAATCTGCTGCTCTCTGCCATCAGTCTGGCTCCCTGTGACCTGATGCCCCAGAACACAGCCTTTGCCGTTTGTCTTTGGCTCTGAAGCAACCCCAGACCAGGCCTGCAGAGCACGAGTGTGCGTGTGGAGCCAAAGCCTCGCTGGCAGATAATCCCTGCATGCCCTGAAGAATGGCTTTTTGCTGCTTTAAGAATCATCTACAGATCGGAAAAAGAATGTTCTAATTGGAAAACCTCCCCGCCATGGTTTTCCGGAGTTTTAGTACAGTTGGCCGGCAAGGAGGCTCCTGGGATGAGGAGGAAGGGAAGTCATGAGGAGGAGACAGTGGGCTCCCTGCCCAGCGCCCCCTCATCCCCCGAGCTCAGCTCAGCCACTGCCGGCCCATGAGGGGCCGCACAGAAGGCTGGGCTTGTCTTCAGCGTGGGGAATCTGGAAGCTGTCTGGCCTCAGCTGGGAGCTCCTCCCCTGAATGGGGGCCCAACCCTGGCCCAGAGACCCTGCTGCCGCCCCAGAAGCAGCCCAGACTCCTGGACTCTCTGGAAGGACTGATTCCTGGTGGGCATTGTGAGCACTGCCCTGAAGAGGGAAGGTGTGCAAGCTGCTGTCTGCTCAATAGATGGGAAGGCCAGAGTTGGGGCTGGGGTTTGTGAGGTCTCCCAGAGCTGATTGAGGCTCTAGCCTGGGAGACCGGCAGGGAAGTACGGCTGCATGGGAAGCCTTGAGGGAGAAAAAGCTCTGACGCCAGGCCCTGCTGAGCCTGACAACCTGAGGCTGTCCAGTTGCAAATTTGCTCCTTTAGGTTAAGCCTTGCCCCTTGCATTTGGGAAATGCTCCTCTTGGAAGGAGACATGGAAATCTACGTCCTCTTCACCTGGGAGAGACCAGGTTACCATGACTCACCTCTTGTGGGATGTATGCTTCTTTATTAGTCTTTTCCAGAAATCTCTTTCTTCAAGGGGCACATCCCTTGACAGACTACAGCATGACCATGGTCTCTGACCTTCAAGGTCAGACCTGCTACTTTTCTTCTTATCCTTCTGCCCAAGTTGCTGCTAGCCAAAGCTTCGCCACCTGCTGTGGAAACTCAGCTCTTCCCAGCACAAGGGAAAGTACTGGTTCTCATCACAAAGGATTGATCAGCCTGGCTGGGGGACACACTTGGCTCCTATTCATTGCACTTGGCCTCAGTAACCTGTACTTAGAGACCATGAGTTCAATCACATGGCTGTACACTTCCTGGCATTGGCCCATCTGCTCTTACTCCCCTTCCTCTCATACCTGTGTCATTTCAGTCCTTGGGGACTGCAGCTCCATAATCTATTTAAATTTAATGAATTCTAATGAAATAATATTGGAAATTCAGCTCCTTAGTTACACTGGCCACATTTCAAATTCTCAATCACCCCATGTGACGAGTGGCTACTGTGTTGGGAAGCACAGAC